CATGTTTCTGAAGTTCAATCACCTGTTCAGGGGGAGATTCCACCAGAATCAGCCGCAGGGTACAATCAGTCTGAGGAAGCTAATGACCAAGGTCAGCCATCTGAAAATCAGAACATCCTTTCTATTCTGCTCGAAATAAAGGATAAGCAGGCTGCTCTAGAACAAAATTTGCAGAACCTACAGAAAATTGTTGAGGAAAACACCAAGGCTCAACAACTTCAAGCAGCAGCAGATAAAGCAGAATTAGAGGAAGCCATTGCTATGTGCTCATCCAGCTTGGATAAGGCCATAGGTCAATGCAGTTCGAAGATTGAAGAGGCTGTCTCAATATTGGAAAATTTTCAACTGATTCGTACTCCTAAAAAATAGCCTGTTTTTCAACATTTCTCTCTATTTTTTTCAATTGGTTTGTAATATTTCTCATACTTATTGTTAGACTGGTTGATTTCTTAATATCAGTGCATTATCTTTTTGTTGATGACAAAAAGGGGGAGAAATCATATTGCAGATACAGGTTATTCTCAAAGGAAGAAAGACACAGATATCAACAGAGTTTGCTATTTCAATCTGTGTTTATTGAGCTTAATATGTTTATTTTCAAAATAATTCAATCTGTAAAGAAAGTTTTGTCACCATCAAAAAGGGGGAGATTGTTGAGGAAAACTCCTATTGATTTTGAGGTTGACAAAACCTTCTGTGTTATTGTAAATCTAATACTCATTCTGAACAATTTCATTCCAGGTCTGTATATTCTGGAAGTTCAGAAGAAAGTTATTCAGACTTTACAATCTATCAAATATGTTTTTGAAGACCCACATAATCGAAGTTCTGAGATTCAGAAGCAGAAGTTATTCAGATGCAGATGCAGAAGTTATTCAGATGCAGATGCAGACGAAGAAATTATTCAGACGAAGAAATTCGTCAGACGCAGAAGAAATTATTCAGACGCAGAAATTCTTCAGACGCAGACGCAGGAGTTCTTCTGATGCAGATGCAGAATATCTTTAGACGCAGAATTCAGAACGTAACACAACAGCTAGTGATCTGGCATGGATTTCACAGAAGGAATGTTCTGATTGTCTCAATCTGAATCAAATTGATTGACAATCAAACATCATGACAAGAATGCATTACAACGGACAAAGTTCTACTTATGGAAACCAAGATTCTGATTGTATGGGCGACCAGAATCAGCGGGATTCAGATTTTATCAACCAACGGCTACTCAATCCATTTTATACAAATCTGTCCAAAGGTGAATATTGGAAGATGATCCTCTGAAGACTGTCCAACGGCTAGTTTGGAAGTGGAGGAGTATAAAAGGAGATCAACGAGGAGCAGAAGGTAGAGAACGAAATCAAGAATCAACAAGTCCAAAGTCTGAGCTTACTCCGATTCAATCTCTTGTCTTTCGTGAGCTTAAACGCGTAATCATTTGAGAGGTATAGATAGTGTTATAAGTGTGTGCTTAGGTGTGAGATAGTGTGATCTATCGGCTTGGTATAAGCGACACCAGCTTCGGGAGAAGTGCTTGGGTTTAAGCGGCACAACTTGCTGTAACTTCTCATTGATTTGATTAGTGGAATCCGCCGGTAGAGGCGTAAGCGTGGGAGAGTGGACGTAGGCTTGCTATAAGCCGAACCACTATAAACTTGTGTGCAGATTCTCTATCCCTTATCTCTTACTTTACATTCTGCACATCAAGAGCACAGTCTATATAATCTGTCTTGAATCTGAATTTTATTCAGACTCTTCTGCGATTTATTTTGTTTCCGCATAAATTATTGAAACTTGTTTTAGATCACCTATTCACCCCCCTCTAGGTGATCCTTGCTAGCTACATCATCAAGTCCCTCAAACTTTAACTTGAATCCAAGACAGTAAAGGGAAGGGGAATGTCTTGTCATATTTAGGGGATTTCACCTTCATGGTCAGTACTGTTTCGTAAAAGAAGGGATCACCCTCCTTCTTTGCTAATATAATCGACATCATGCATTAGAAACCAAATAATTTGTGTTGCTTGAGGGATAATCGCTAGTGCTCAAAACATCTATGGCGCCGTGAAAAACTAGCAAGCAGTCTCTAAAAACTTAGTAACCCTCCAATCTTGTTATGCCCACAGCGGGAAGAGCCACATCTTGTTATGTCAACAGCTGAAGACTGGCACTTGCACTGTAAGTGGTGGAGTAGAGTGTCAGTGCACCCATTTCCTATCATGTCTTCTTCAATATTTTGTATAATGAATTCCAGCTCGTCCTTACGTCTAGAGGGAATCTCAGCTTGCCTTCTTGGTGTCATGTGTAGGACCTCCCAACTCTTCATGACTTTGTGAAGTGGATCTAACTTAATTAATGAACCCACCCACCTATCTTGGCCATAGAATCATAAATTGGTGGAGGCCGTCTTGCACACACAAGGTAATGCAATACGTGCACTGCATGTGGAAGAAAATCCCATTGCAAATGGGAATTAGCTATTGCACCAGGATCCTGGTTGTGTTCACATTAGCATTATCTAGCATGATGTTGTAGATTTTAGCAGAGATGCTAAACTCATTAACAGCTTTTATTATTTTGACCGCCGCAGTCGGGGAATCATGCAAAGATAACTAAGAGCTCGGTGACATCATATCATTCCTCATGGAATCAATGGTCAGCAACTACACAACATTTGTGATTCTCAATTCAAATATTAAAGAAATTCGAAAGTTACTTAACAACAGAGATGCATCAACACCACCCTCTTCTCTTTGTATAGCGATATGCAGTTTCTGATGTTTGTTGTCCGCGAAACGGGCTTGAATTGAGGTTATAGAGCTGTCTACACATATTGGACAAAAAACAGGGACCTTTTGCAAAGCCTAAGAATTGGTCAGCAGCAAGACAATAAATGTCAGCTTCCGCTGATTGCTCAACAAGCTTTCGGCATGCGGCATTGTATATGAACTATGAAGAGATGGCTCGTCCCTGTTGATAATATTCCTCTTAAAACTTTGCCAAATATCGTGCAAATGGTCATTTGGGGCGCGAATGGTATCCATTCTGCTCCAGAAATCAAATTCTTGCCAGAAATTGATTTCCGAAATTCTTGCCAGAAATTGATTTTTGGAGGAAAAATTTGTTTGATAAAACATGACTAATTCTGCTCTAGAAATTGATTTCTAGAACATAAATCTTTTTTTATTTTTTTGGACACCTCAAAAAAATAAATTTCACTCAAAGTGGGTGCCCAAAGGTATTCTAAACCATTTTGTGAAGTTTTGAAATTTTTTATTTTTTGATTTTTTTGGGCACTTCAAAAAAATTAAATTTCACTCAAAGTGGGTGTCTAAAGGTATTCTAAGCCATTTTGTGAAGTTTTGAAATTTTTAATTTTTTGATTTTTTTGGGCACCTCAAAAAAAATAAATTTCACTCAAAGTGGGTGCCTAAAGGTATTCTAAACCATTCTATGAAGTTTTGAAATTTTTTATTTTTTTATATTTTTTGAAAAAAATTCACCAAATTTCCTATTTTCCTGAAATCTGACTTTTTTTATTTTCTGGAAATTTTTATGAATTTTTCTGGAATTTTTCAATTTTTATGCATTTTCTGAAAAAAAAAATTAGTGAGAAAAAGAGAGAAAATAGAGAGAATGCATTCTGAAAGAGAGAAGCTACAAAAAGTAACTTCTATTTTTCTTGTCCAAAACTCATTCTGGAATAAAAAATGCATTCTGGAATCAAGAATGCATTCTGGAATCAAGTATTTTTAACAAACGTATTTTTATTTGAGAATGCAAAAATTGCTCCAGAATGCATTCCGGAAATTTTTTAACAAACGCATTTCTGTTCTGTAATGCATTTTGGAGCAGAATTTCTACTCCAGAATGGATTCCATGCGTGCCCTTGGACACCATTTGCATAAATCCCAAGCAGTAATGTCTTCTTCGCAAAGCCAGACGCTGCAGTTACTCGGAGTTTTCTTCATAGGTAAGGATATCATCTGAAGAAGTGTCTTGACTGGGACTTAGCTTCAAACATTCGACCCTGGAATTTCTCCCAATGGTCGGGTCGTATTGTTTCATTGTCGTCAAATTCGACTTATCGTAGAGATGGAGCTGGTATTTGCTAGGGGTGTGCAAAAGAACCAGAAACCACCCGGGACTGCCCGAAACCGGTGGTTCCTAAGGAAACCGGTCCGGTTCCCGGTTCCAGGTGTGGAACCAACCGCCTACCCTGACCAGACCGATAATATAATAATAAATATAATATTTTTATTTATTTTTTATTTTTTAAAAAAAGAAAAATCCTAAATGCTTAAACTAAATTTAAATTGCTCAACGCTCACAGCCTCATATTGAGCCGAGAAACACCTTTTTTCGCTTTCGCCTCACGCTCACTCTCATTCTCTCATTCTTCTCGGTCAATACTCACCTCACCGTCTCCGACTCTCCATCTTCGTCTCCGTCTCCGTTTCCATCTTTTCGTCTCTTTCCTTGGCTAGTGGGACCGGTTCCATGGACTCACCTGAGAACCACGGTCCGGTTTGCGGGTGGATCCATGGAACCAACAGGCGGTTCCCGATTTCAATTTTTCGGAACCGATCCTTAGTAGACAGTTTCCGGTTCTATGGTGGAAACAACCCACCCGAACATGCTCACCCCTAGTATTCGCTGTTGTTGACGAAGTAACTGAACAAGTCCCTCGTCAATTGCACGGTAAAGTCCAGACCGTTGTGATGATCGGATGCGATTATTGTTTTTGTCCTTCTTCCTTGCGACATTTACAACTTGATTAAATCGTTGAGGACAAAGAATAACCCTTGAAGAGGTTCCAAGGGAAGTGGAAAATATTGGCACTATAGCGAGAAAGGGAGCATCCTGCATAACTCGTCGTAGCAAGCAGCACAGGCAGCTAAATCTTATGAATTGATTTTTGATCCAACATTGAAGGCTCCGTTAACCCGCCATCTTATGATGTTTACTTTGCAAAAACCGACAATTTTGCATCAACAACAAATTCACCCTAAAATAATCGCCTTTTGATTCATGAGCGATTCAATTCAATTAACAAGAGTTGACTGCTGCAACATACATAAGGAAGGATAAACAATGCACTCAATGATCCCATCAAAACGGAGGGCTCGGTCAGTCATACATCCCTTCCTGTTCCCAGATGTCCACAAGAAAATCAACCATTTCCTGGAATAAAGCGTACATAGAAAGTAAGACAAAATGACCCAAAAATATATAAATCAGAGAGGAACTAAAAAACTTTCATGGACGGTGACTTACTGCGAGAGGGACACGTTGAGCAAACCGTTTATTGCTTCCGAGTAAACTATCGTACGTCGCATTCCAACTACAAGCCAGGAGTAAATCATCATTCATCGACACATTATCAAGAAAAAGCTCAAAGCTGGCTATGCTAAGGTAATACTAGAAAGACAGGCAAAGCCAAATGATTTTTCCGGAACATAGAAGGCCCAAGAATAAGCACAATATCAGCTGTTCTCATATTTCTTAAATCTTCGTTTCAGGCCAAAGACAGGCATCAGTGCTCCAGCTCTTGGATGAACAGCTGCTCCTCCATGAATGTGCACTGCTGTCAGATCACTACATTAAGTCACTAATTCAGCCTTTGTAGAGAAGGAGTTGGGCCAAGTAGTAAACTAGAGGTGTCCAGTCTTTCCAATGATACTCTTTTAAGTTACAACCAATCCCGGAGCACCATTAGTGACAGCATCCTAGTTCTAGCTGGAATAATTTCCTTCTATCATCGACATGCACAAACTTTGCGCTCTTTATTGCTTCGGTACCTACATCACAGCTAGAAAATTACTGAAGGAACCCTAAGTTACAGTTTTCTTGCGCTTTTACCCCAACCAGGTCAGACTCAGATGCACTTGCATTTATGCAGATTAACTGGGCAATCCTTTTTCAGGAAACAAAACACAGCGAAAGCTATGAAGAACTGACCTCAGTCTAGGTTCTAGGACCTGTTTTGGTCTGATCTCGTCCTTTTTATTACCTATCCACTGCTGCCGAGTTTGATGCCAGAGAAGAAGACCTAATGCACAGAAAACATTTCAAGAGTCAGATGTGATGAATATGATGAGACATGGTAGGGAAAATTCTTCTGAATAGCAGTGAAGGATGCCAACTCATGCGTAGACACAAGCACCGATCATTGATAACTCTCTCCATCGATGTTGCATGATAGCATTTGATACATACAGAAAAGTGCAAACCCAAGCTAGGGAGACAGATTCAAGAAGTGGTCATAAACTTACCATGATTGACAAATTCGGGAGTTCCACCAGAACTGGTACCCCCATGTGCATTAAGGGTCTGTGATGTACTGATTGACGACATGCTTCCTTGCGACTGGACTGCGCTGTGGTCCATATCAAAGGTGCTTGTACTCCAAAAATCTTCCGACTTGCTTGGTTTTTTCACCCTTTGACCCCGATTCTCTACTTGTTTCGGTGGAACATCCCTTGACTGAATTACTTTGGGCTTCAAAAAGCATGCAAGCCAACCTCTGCTCTGTTCCAAATGTTATATCGTTCAGTCAAAGAACACATTCGAAAGCATAAATTGACAAAGCCACCAAGAAAGACAGTAGATTGAGGCGCTACATCCCATTGCATATCATTAGATACGCATGCATGAAACTTCACTAAACCCCACAAAGTTGATAGCACTTTCACTGAGTGTGCCAAAGAAACCATCATTTCCGATTTGTAGAGTAAAAAGTTATGTCCACTCCATTACTTTGCCCTAGCCCCAAAAGCGAAATACAGCAAAGGGCGGGCCCAGTTTAAGCAGCTCTTAGCCAAGCTCTTTGCCTGGGCTTGAGCATTGCATCACCACTTACCAATCCCTCTTCTCAGTACCTAGCCGGAAAACCCCAAATTTTTAACAATTTATTTCGTAAACATTGTTAGTTGAGGCAGCCAGGTTGAACTGGTAACTACAATTCATAACTTCGGCATTGCATTGCCGGAGCCCACCCCAGAATTTGGTAGACAGAATAGACCTTAACAAGTACACACATCCAAAAGTGAAAGAAGAATCGTCAGATCGCTCAAATAAACGGAGATTAGACCGTGAGCCTAGGCCTCCACTGGACAAGTCTGCGGAATGGGGAAAGAAGTTGCTATACAAAAAGAAGCTTCACCAATCGCGCTTCTTATGTCATATGCAGGACAGTTCTTAATAGACAAGAGAAGACACGAGAGATACCAAACAAAAGAAAAGGAAAATTGAAGTCACTCGTCCGCCCAGTTGCGGGCCTGCAGCCCAAGGTTTCCACAGAGAGTGCTAATAACATGTCCATTAAAGTCATCAAACAGAAAACATAGGTTACGTTAACAACAAGAAGCTGACATAGTATACATCAACCAACGCATTGTCCTTATCTATCTCAATTTTCGGACAAAAATGTAAATTAATTAATTCAAGTCAAGAAAACAAGAATACTTAGATTGGCCGGGCCATTTCATGTGAAGCCGCCACATTATGTCTGCCCATACATTTTCTCATTGAATCTGGTCTAGTTGACCCATATAGATCTTTGGTTCATGAGAAGAATGGGCACCATATATTCTATAGAAAATTTCGACCAAAAGCCAGAACTAATAATCACAGCTCCCCATATAGGTAACAATAATTCTATATCCAAAATCGGCAAATTGAGCAAATCTGGATTTCTCCAACCAGGGGGGCTCAAAATTTAGCATCAAGCAGGTACTTTACACTTTATAGACAGCCTCTACATCCCTTCGTTTTAAACCCAAAAAAAACAGGTTGGGTTAACTTCGGTTCAATTGAGCAAATGCAATAAATGGATAAGCCTCCATTATCCTCGAGCCAAACGAAAAATATCAAGAATCGTTCCAAGCTTCGTCGACCTTCCGAATCTATTCACAAATTTGGACCCACCCAATCAAGAATCACAGCACAGCACCCGAACAGGCCAAAGATCGTCGTAAAAAGAAACGAATTTCAGAGAGATGGGAACCGGACAACTTACCCCATATGCAACACAATGCAGGAAGAACGCCGGTGAGCGACGAACAATCCGACCGGGGAGAGATTTGTCCGAGAGGATCAAAACCCAGCGGAACCCCGATTCGAGGAAAGAGAGAGATCGGAAATCAAAGGACCCTGAAGAAACAGAAACCCAGTAAACCCGCGGGTCAAAATTAGGAAACGCGACCGCTTAGGAATCGTCATCAACCGGGGAAACAAGAACAGCAGTTCTGACCTGCGGAAAAGAATCATGGGTTCAGCTATATCTCCCTCCCTCCCTCTCTCTCTCTTCTATCCCCGGAACTGTTCATCACCTAACGGCGGCAGCCTTGCTACGGGAGGTGGGACTCGCCGGCGTCCTCGTCCTCGTCTTCTTCTCCGGTCCGGTACGCGATAATGGAAGGAGACGAGGAGAAAAGGCGGAGAAGAAATGCTTCGATCGGATTATATAGAGTGGAAAATGAGCCCCGTTATTTTATTTTTAATGTTTTATTTTATTTTGTTGATGCTATTTTATTAATAGTATATAGTCCGTGCGAGCTGTGGATAATTATTGGACCTTCTGTTTTTCTCTGTTCTATTTTTTTTTTTGTCTTTTTTTTTTTTCGGGATGACCCACGTTGTAATAATTGCACATGATAATCCGTTTTTCCGGATAAACTAATAGGGGCGGCATATAATGAAAAATCCGAATTTAGTCAAAATTGGCAACAGGACAAGTCCATGTTTAGGTTCGAGGTCGGCGAGTGAAAATAGGGATATGTTTTCTCAATTTACGGTCCATTAAAAGGATCGATTTAGGCATAAAGACGCGTCGTTTTATAGTAAAATTACATACGACACGCTCGACAGTGATCTTTCGATTTTTTTTATTTTATAGGATAATAGCATTATGATGGTAAATTGATGTTGTTACGGTGTTCTCGTTTTGCAGCGCGCGGAGATCTTGAAATTTTCGACCTTTTATGTTTTGGCTGCGGATCGAGGGTTGAGGGGGAGATTAGGACCTAAGCTAGACATTTTTAACACCATTAATCTTTATGCTCGGACCCCACATTTGCATATGTCCTAATCACGTGATATTTTTTTTTTTTTCCTCGGGACCGAATCGAGATACCATGATGGATCAGACAGAATCAGTGGACCGCCCCACACGCTTCTTTTGCGTCTGGCATTTTGCTTCTTCTCCTCGCCATTTACTTCTCTTTTCCTCGCCAGCACCGCAGAACCAACATGAGAGAGGGGACAGATCCACCCTTTCTTTATGGACTATCGATAGATTTGTGAAAGAGTTTGATAGATGGGGGGTTCAAAAATAGTTACCGGTTACTTGATTTTTCGATAATTTATTGGCAACTTATCGGTACTCATATGAAAATACTTTTATCCTTGTTTACAGCTTATATATACCATTAACTTTTCCCATTTACCGATTTTTATATAACTTTCTTATACGCACCTTAAATTTACCACTATTTTATAAATTACCGACTTTATTTGGTGACTTGCCAATTTTATACCCGATTAAGTAATCCAATGTGAAAGTTAGCAAACTTAAAAAAAGATGAATAAGCGTTTGTAACTAACTCAAATGGTAGTCCGGAACTGAAAACTAGCATCGGGGAGAAAAGTTGATTAAAAAGTTATATTAAAGTTAGTGATTTCATATAAAAGTCGGTAGATCTGTGGCCTAATTAAGAAAGATGAATACAAGTTGGTTAAAGATAGGGTTAATACCATGAAAAACCCTAAACTATACATTTGTGATAAATTTACCTCAACTTAATTTTTTGACCACCAAAAATCCTAAACTGGTGCATTCGTGACAAATTTACCCTCCGTTAGTTTCCATTAATTTTATTAATACCACGAAAAATCATCAATCGATACATCTGTGACAAACATGTCATCTAACTTAGTTATTTGACAGTAAAAATTTAATAGAAACTAATAGAGAGTAAAATTGTCAAAAGTGTACCAGTTTTGGGTTTTATGGTTAAAAAATTAGTTTAAGGTAAATTTATCACAACTATACTAGTTTGGGGTTTATCGTGGTATTAACCCTTAAAGATAAGAAAAGTTGGTAATGAAAAGAAAAATAAACTTGATGAGTAATTCAAATCAAAGTTGGTAACATAACACCAGTTGGTGATTTATTCACAAAATGTTAGTAGTTAAGATTAGCAATTTCTAAATCGAAAGTCGGCAAATTTAAGGCATTTCTAAGAAAAGCAAATAAAATTTACTAGACGATAAGGAAAGGTGGCAAACGAGCGTCGGTAAGTAACTCAACTTACGGTTAGTAATTTAATAATCATATATAATGGGAGAAAAAATGATTGAGTCACGGAAATTTTTGTTGGTATTTTCTGGAGGAAAGTTAGTTAAAGTTGGGTTTGCTAAACAAGTTGGTTTTCTTATAAAAAAAAAGTTCATAAATTAAAAAAATTAAATATTGGGAAGTAAACCAAATGAAAATTGATAATCCAAAATTTCCAAAACTAATTAGTTTTTTAATCAGATAAAAGTCGATAAATCACTTTAACTTAAATTGACAAGTGCATATAATATAATAGCCAATAAATTTCGAAAGGTTGATAATTTTTGTAAATGAAAGTCAATAAATTAGTTCTTTTTGTCAACATCAGTAAATTAGCTCGTTTTTTCTTGCCACAACATCAATAAATTAGTTCAAAAATTACAAATTTGCAAACTATCAGAACAAAAGTTTCGAATTTCATGAAAGTGTTGATAAGTTATCAACAAGGTCCTCGCAAAAAAGTCATCGGTCATTTTATTATTTATTAATATTTTTAAACCCTTACGAGCGCTCATCGAAATTTACAAGTACAAAAGAAAATCCGGATTCTGGGCACGAAACGAAAGTGTCATGCTAAACAGGTAAATGATAAATCCGATAGCTGATCTGCAGAATTTCTCAAACTCTGCGAGAGATTTTGATTTTGACTTTTCCATTTACACATCCTTCTTGACAAAGCAAAGAAAGGCTTCTTATTCTTTCCTTATGTACACAAGATTCACATGCGATGGATTAACACGAGCACTCAATCGCAGAAGCAGCTCCATTGCTCTGCATCCCCACCATCTCTTGCTCTTCGACTTTGCAGCTCCTCTCCAGCTTCTTGGATTCCTCTGCGCTTGGTATTGCCGAGGGCGAGCAACCTTCCTTCACGTCATCGGCAAATTTCACCCTCTTCTTCTTTCTCTCCCCTTTCCTCCCGTCTGCACCACAAACCGCAAACACAAACACAAACACAAACGCCGGCTACATAAAAACGGTCTGGCCCGTGTCAAGATATGGAAATATAATCCGCGCGGTTCTGTCCAGAAAAACTTTTTTCAGGGTCAATGCGCTCTTTGACATCGTGGAACGAGTCAAAACAATAATTTTTTTTTCCTCCGAGAGAGAGAGAGAGAGAGTTGAATCGAGAGCAAGAACCTGAAGATAGCAAGCAAGAGCGAGGCGCTTCCACTTGATGACGCTGAGAAATGTCCTCTGCAGGAGGGGGCACTCTCCTTCTAGACAGAGAGAGGAGGAGGACAACGCTCGAGACCAGCATGGCAGTGGCCAAAACCAGATTACCTGAACAATTCATGGCAAGAGCTACGACAGGGACAGAAAGAAAGCAGAACTAAGGACTTAGGATGTGTTTTGTGCTACGAAGCGGGTGTGTGTTTGTGCTCAGAACTCAGAACGGCATGCAGAAAAGATCAGTCGGAGACGGGTAACTCATAAGCTACTGATTTTGCTGTTGCTGGATTTGAAGGGCACACTGATCGAAATCCAAATTACTGCACGTGTTGTGGAAGTTCAGAGCTTTGCGATGACGAGATGGGTGATGAAGAAGAATTTGGATGGAGTGCACGAGGGGATGGATGCTAGAAGAAAAGGGTGCCAGAGTCTGGACTCTTCTTCTTCCATCTAGGTTTTTTCCATCTTGGTTTTTTTGGCTTTGTCAGAGTGAGAAGACTGAAGGGAAGCAGTCTCTCTTTTGCTCGGTCTTCGTTTCTTTTTGTGGAAAAGTTCAGAGATCTCGAAGCAGTTTTTATTATTGGGTCATTTGTTTTGTTCTTTCGGTTGGCGTGGGTCGTGTCCGGTTTGGCGATGCACCGCACCGCACGGCATGAGGGAATTGGAAATTCTTGGGGGTCAACAACGGTCAAAGCCTTCAGTGCAATTTTTAATGGCGGAGAGTTTGGTCAGATTGGAGATTTTATCTCGTCATATAATAGCATGTGGAAACTTGCTGTCCTCCTTTGATTTTGTCCTGAGTTAATGATATTCAGTGGATTGATCCGCTTATGAATAGCTTGATTTTGCCTACAGTTACGGTCAGTTTCCTATTGTTCACCAAAAATAAGGTGATTATGACGAAGAAACAAAGGCAATTGCCATTTTCAAGGAGAGTTCTTCCATAAACATGATTTGCCGACTAAAACACGTCAATCACCGGATGAAACGAAAGACGTAGATTCATTTCGTAGATAATGTCTTGCACTAATTTTGGGAGTTCTGGAGCCCTGAAAATAGTCATGCTGGAATTGAACTGAATAACTTCTACCTTCCATTTTTTTTCCTATGAATCGACGAAAATAACATTAAATAATCGGCGACCACCACAGCCGTGTTGGGATGGGCCGCCAAAATGAACAACAGCATTAGCGACATCGTTGTTCCTAACGGGACATGATACGCACAGTAGTGGAGCCTTTTCTAATATGATCAATACCAAAAATACGAGGTGATCTATAAAGTACAAAATCATCTAACTGGTCCCTTCCATGCACTTTCAATCTTCCGTTAATTTTGCAGAAAATGACTTCAATTTCACGCCGATTTTGTGTGCAAATTGTGATTGTTCTTACTCTCTAGTCGATATATTTAAGGGTGAGCATGATTCTAGGGTAAAACCTGGAACACGAGAACCTGATCGGTGGGAACTTGTAGATTTCAGGTTTCAAGGTATGCAGGATAGGTTCCAGGTTTCAAAAATTGGGTAACCTATTTTGACGGATAGGTTCTAGATTCTAAGTAGATGGAACCTAAAACCTAAAAGAGTTTTTTGTGTTTTTTCTTGATCTATGTCTTTGCGTGATCCTGCGGTGTTTCATGGTGTTAGATGATGAGTGTATAATATGGAACCTCTAGTCTGAGCTTTCATTTTATGACTTGTTAAAGTTTCGTATTCTTTATGTGTCTAAATATAAGTTGTGATCAGTGGATCATAACAGCAAGTGGTGTTCGTTAAATGTGATGATTCACCGCAATTGTTCAATTAATAATACAGGTGGAACCTGCGTATACCTTGGAACCGACTCTTGAACCTGTGATATGGTAGATTCCAGGTTCTAAAAAATGAGGAATCTATTATTCTGGATAGGTTCTAGGTGGAACCTATACGGAACATGAAACCGCTCACCCCTAATATCGATTCACGCAATAACTTCTCATTTAACTTGTATTTATTTGAACCGTAATGCTAGGAAAACTAGTATTTTGTATTCTCTTTGGTGAATGACACGCTTCTACAGTATTGTTGCGTTCATTTTCATAATGAAATAAAATAAAAAAGAACCTGTTAGACCCTAGTTCCAAATTCCAAGTTCCGACGGGTAAATTTCAAATTCCAAAAAATAAGAATCTGTACCGAATGGCAAGTTCCAGGTCAATTAGAACTTATTAGGAACTTTGAACCGCTCAACCCTAGTTATATCTCACTAGCCTTTATAATGTTGTCACCCATCGCCCTTCATTCAGCAGCTTCCACATGAGAGAGGTATAAAGCGCTACATCATCTTAACATGGAATTTCAATGAATCTTAGGTACATGCTCCCTCCACATCAACCTCTAATCGTTTAAGATACTTCATCAGTTGCTCTACCCTGAAATGCAGCAGATCTACAACATAGTGAAAAAGCAGAGACGGGCACGGGCCATCGCTATTCGCTTGGAGTGTGAAGAAGGCTCGAGTTTCTTTTCCATTTAAGCCACGTCTAAGTACTTCGCACACCCAGAAAGGCAGAAATGACAATTAGGTTGAGTTCCCAAAAAGAAAACAACCAATTAAGCGGACAAAACAGAAGCGCGGAATCAGACCAGCACAGCAGAAATTCAAAGTTGCTCATGAATCATGATACCTTGAGGTCGGGCAAACCTTAAATTAGCACACATCTTTTAGTCCATCAATCTGGTCACAAGCAATTCTTTGCATTTCACTAGCTTCACGAAGAACCTCAAAATTAAACTAATGTAATAAATGTGAAGAATATTAACGGCAGTAGGAAAGATATACCATGTATTACAAAAGGCAAACTTCGACCAGTTAACATCCTATTGCCATAAAAACTCTGCAAATCTCGATATGAAAAAGCTGATCACAAAAGAATATCATCTTTCACGAGACAGGATGGGTGAAACACTTTATTACACTGCTACAACAACCAACATACCAAAGAGGACAGCAAGCCAAATTACTGTTGGTATAGCACAACCAAGTAGATAACCAAAGTTTAAGGGAAAGGAGGTAAACGTTTGAACTAAGTAGTGAGGATGGGAGGCATGTAGTCAGATTTGGTACCAAGAATCCGAGCCTTCGTGTCAGGGAAGTGCTCGAATCCTGGCAGTTCAGTGATGACTCCGTCACTGGCAACCCCAATAGGATAGCGAAGCAGATGACCAGGCAAGTCGCGCTCGAGTGTCTCACTCGAGTAAAGATCCCAGTACTTGTCAGCGATCTGATTCACTTTCCTGATAGATTCCTCACCTTCAGGCTGGAGGAATGAGTCATCAAGCATTCCCAGGTGCTCATACCACAGAGCCATACGGAAGCCATGGATCTGTCCGCGTGCTGGCTCTCTTGTGGCCAGATGATGGGGCTGGTAAGCTCCCATTGCAATCTCTGAGTCTCTGGCACCATCCATCGATCTCTGGTTGATGTTGGCAGATCCAATTATTATGTACTCATCATCAACTGCACAAGAAACATGTCAATACAATCACTTCACAAATGAAAACTCGAAACAGAAAGGGAGGCAAGACATCACACAAAGTAGAATAAATACTCCATGCATACACAGGGCAAGTAAATTATATGGGAAGACAATCTTTTACATTTTATATTCAAGTAGGATTTCAACTGTATGACCACACCACATATTGCTTCAACTCTGATGATCTCTTCTAATGCTGAACATACTTGAACATGAAAACCTAAACAGGAGCGAAATTAAATAACAAACAAGTAGACGGCCAAAACACTCACCGATCATCATCTTGGCATGAACATAGATCATGAATCGCCGTGCTTCCTGGGCTCTTATATAATCTGAATCAGGTTCAGGCTTCTCCGAAGGCTCATATTCTCCACTCCTCTTGACCTCCCGATTTCCAAGACAGAAAAATGTCAAATAATTTCGAGGGTCTTCCTCAATACCCTTCGCTTGCAGAGCTTGGATAACATCCTTGTACATCATCTCCATCGTCCTCTTCTGCCAATCTAATATTGCCTGCACCGATCCACTCTCTGGAACGCCCTCAGGCCACATTGGAACTACGACATAGACACTGAACCTCTCCCCAGCTTCAATCTTACTTACAATTTTAAGTGCAAGCTCCTTGGGGACAAGATGTGAGGCATTAATATCCTCGGGCTTTATACCATCAGCAGACCAACCAAAAGAGCTTCCAAGAAAATACTGATTCTCAATATAAATGAAATTTTTGGCACGGCGGATTGCATTTATATAAGCATCCTGAATGCTTCGATCGATGATATTATCCTTCCCACTAACAAGCCCAGCTCTAGCAGCATCTTCAGGAGTCTCAGGGAAGCCAAAAGCAGCTCCACCATCTATCGATCTGAATAATTGGACTTGCCATCTTTCAGGGTCATCGGGGAACATAGCAGGAGAAGGGGGGATAATAACATCATCAAGCTCCCTTAGCGGAAGAAGCAGGTCCTTACCGCCCTGCTTTCTCCATCGCTGCTCAAAATTATACAACACATCCCAAGCAATGGGTCCTTCAAGCCGCGAGTGAATATCATGCCAAGGTTCCCGAGGACCACCCTTGGTGATCGAAGCACCCGCAAAGTTTGGTTGGTGGAAATCATCATGATGAGCCGTGTCTAATGTCCTGAACAGAGAGTGGAATGGAGTGTCATATCTCCCATCACAGAGATCAATACCACCTACGAAGCTCACAATCCTCCTCCTCTGTGACCCCTGACTAGGCATCTCACTGTCCACCACAACAATCTTCTGGTGATGAGTGAACATGGTGGAAATTTGTAGATCTTGAACAATGCTTCCACCATCATCAGGATTACGAGGGCACAAGACACAGTGCACCTCAGTATCATGGAAGAAATGCTCAGTTTCTTCATCATGAGTGGCCATCAGTCCATCCTTTTTCAACAAACCTACAGAAGTCCTATCATCCCAGACAAGCATCAGCACCCTAACTCCTTCACTTGCCTTCTTTTTTAGCAGGTCCCCAATAGTGATGTCTCCCCCAGGCTTCGGCCTCCTTGCATCCCTGACAAGTGAGATCTCAGTATACACTGACCAACCAGTAATGTAGATCAAGTGCTTTGCATTGCTGATTGCATCAAATATATCTTCCCAACATCTGTGAGGCTCATAATACTTGCCTCCAGCAAGAGGGATTTTTGGAATGAAGTTGTCCGGGATGTGAGCATCCTGGTAAAGAGATACTTTACATCCTTGTCTCTGAGAGAAGAATGTATAAGGAACTCCAGGAAATTTCGCACTTCTAATACCCCTACCGTAGTTACGGTCTTTGCTGATATCAAAGTACTGCAGCTTCACATGGATCTTCGAACCTATAGGATTTCTGTCTTTATCCAAGATTTCAACCCATCTATCCAGCTCTTCCCCGCCCAACAACTCATCAACAGGTATATAGGCTCTTCCGATCAATGATGCACCGATAGGGTTATCGTCCTTGATGGAAAATACAACATCCGAGGCCATGTGGGCACAATAGATGTGGAAGGACTCGTACCAGCGTGGGTTAGAAGCTTCCTTTTCAATTATTCTTGTCCTTCCAACTCTAGCCTTTCCTAAATCGATTGTGGCATACAGTTTCGTCACTCCCTTGCCCAGGCCAACAGTCTCTTCGATATTTGCCATAATCTGCAACCAAAATGAAGTTTAGCAAACTTGAAATGATGGAAGATAATTGTTTCAGCAAGAACAGAGATCCCGTCAGTAGCGACGCTTGCGAAAGATGCGAATGCACAAGCTTAAACTGTGCAGCGATAATAGTCAATAATATGCCTCTTCGCATAAGATGTTCTCTCATCTGGTCTACAAATTAGGCCGATCGACACGATACATATCGTAACTGGATTTTACAGCATCTAGTCCAACAGTCACTCCCGATCATCACCAATCTTAATCACAGGTCTCTAGAAATTAGTGTATGTGACCATGCAAGTCGACAGCGTCAAGTAATCCCTACACCAATCCTCAAGTCTCTCCCCGTTGTTTATCTTCGTCTTCCTTCAAGGTAAGCTAATTCGCGTGTCGTTGAAATAACACGGGTTAAGCTTAGCCAGGGCACAAGATCACCGGAATACAAGGGCCCCCAAGGACGAGAGACACCGCAATTAACACAAAAGAGATCGCCGACATGGCGGGAAAGAAGTCCGATGAGAGATCCTAAGAGACATCGCCAATGCGAGCCTATCTCCATACCATCGTCACGAAACCACTCTCCTTTTTTACCAACACCGCGATACCGTCGTCACTATCAGCCACAAGCGTCTTCCTCCGATCGAGCTTCAAGCCTAAGCCCTCGGCGTAATCGGAACACGATCCGGAACGACGACGGGTTCACGGGAGGCGGAGGGAGACGTACCTTGCGGAAGAACTTGGGAGCGCCGCCGTGGTGGAGCCGATCCACTTCATAGACGGTGGCGTGGAGCGTCCCGTGCAGCAGTATCTGCGCCATTTCCTCGCCTGCGCACCGGAGCCCCCAAAAAAAAAAAAAGGCCCCGAATCAACACGAGAACAAAAAGATCGCGCAGCAGAGAGATCGAGAGATCGAGAGATTTCGAGGGAGAGACTCACCGAGAGAGGAGATCTGACGGAGCTTTTTGGGAGGGAGAGGAGTCGTGAGATTTGCGAAGCGGAGAAATGAAAAGGCGGAGGTGGTGATGGGGCAGGGGTGAGATGGAGAATGTGGAGATCGATCTGATCCGAGATTATTTTGCTTTATATCGATGCGAGTAGGAGTACCAGCGTTCAGGTCCGTTCACACGCGCTCGCACGATACACGATAGCGAACGTCGGTGAATAATTTACGTGAAATTTGGCATTGGTCCAACGCACAAAGCACGCGGAGAGCGCGCGGAGGGGAAGGCGATCCACAGGTTCAGCTCTGTCACCAATGGCAGGCCCTCGCATCGCATCCCGTTTTGACACTGGACGTGACCTTGGCTTTTTCGGGGAAATTTTTTTAGGGTTGTTTACACCAAAAAAATTGCTAACTCGTCGACATGATTCGTTTGTGCCAAAGATCATCAAGGGACACATGACGGAGACTTGAGGTAACGTGGAAGCAAATATCATCAAGTTGCCAACATAAGGGACACATGTCTGACATGTGTCATGTGTATATATTTACACCAAAAAATGATCAATTTTTGGGTATTATTGACAAGACTGGTCACGACTTCATCAAGGTTATTTCAGTTCTGCGCTAGCTCGGGAAAATGGTCATAACTTCTTCGAGACAGATCGGATTGACCTGATTCCAAATCCAAAAGAACGAAGACTCATGGATCTACAACTTTTATGTTTTGAGTTTTCTTAGAAAATCACTATAGAAGCCATCAAGGTTAAAGGAAGTCGACGGTCGTGACTTCATCTTGTCGAGGACTTCGACATCTTGTCGATACTTCGACGAAATTGCAGTTCTGCGCTAGTTCGGGAAAATGGTCATAACTTCTTCGAGACAGATCGGATTGACCTGATTCCAAAGCCAAAAGAACGAAGACTCATGGATCTACAACTTTTATGTTTTGAGTTTACTCAGAAAATCACTGTAGAGTTTTCGACATTAAGAGGAAGTCGACGGTTGTGACTGGTTGGAGATGCAGAAAGAAGAAGTAACCGTCAACATAGTGGAGTCAAAGCAACCTCCAACGTAGTGGAGTAAAAAGAAAACCGTCAAGGTAGTGGATTCAACGTAACTGTTGGAAACCACTAAGGAGCATATATGCGAGAATAGTTACTTGGAACCATGATTATGAGAAAGTTATTACTTGTGGACAAGATCGTGAGACAGTTATCTTGAAAGCAGAATCATGGCATCACATGGACATGAAGACAAGATTTTCGGAATGGAAGAACATGGGCACAACTGTTGAAAACTGCTAAGGAGCAGTTACCATACGACCATTATAAATATCACCGGCCATCTATCGGAGAAAACCCCCGACAAAATCAAACAACATATTATCTTTCAATTATCTTTACTTTTATGTACCACACTTTATCTTTCCTTAGCTGTAACTTTCTGATTCGCGTCGTCGATTAAATTCCGGCGTGTATCTCTATCCCGAGTGTTGCGTCGTCGATTAAATTCCGACGTTACATCTTTGTGTACGTGTGCGGCTGTATTTTCAAGCTTTGTCGTCGATTAAATTCCTGCACGGTTTGTACATATAGTCCGGTTCGAAGTTCGGAGTAAAAGTTCGTCGTTTTTTCTTGTCTCCCTGGATATTTCCTGTCCGGAGTCGCCACGGAACCCGGTCTCCTCACATTAAGAACCGAAGAACGACTTTCGGTGAATTATATTTCGCCGCGGGAGCATTTTCTGGTGAAACATAATTTTGGCACGCCTGGTGGGACCATTGTGGTTGATTTGAGGAGATACGATGCCGAGAGCAAGGAAACAAGTTGATCCCCATTACGCTGGTGGTAACAACTCATCACCACAACATGAAAATGACAAAGTGGGATGTTCTGAGTAATCAAATGCACAACCGGTAGCAGAAAAAAGAGCAAGGTGAAGATGTTGACAACCCAAGACAACTCACTGATGAGCAGAGAATGCAATTAGAGCTAGATCCTATGATGTTTGCTTCTATGAGGAGGATTCTCCACGAACACCGGAAGGAAACAATTAACCATATGATAAAATGTGTCATCGATGTGATAAAGCCCATAATTGTCAACACCTTCCAAGGGGTCATGCACGGGCTTGGAACATCAAGTGGTTCAATTGAAGTGCAGGCGAGTCTGGATAATCCTACTTAAGTGATCCATAGTCAAGATCCTCAACAGGTTGAGGTAATACTAGACCAAACAGTGCCACGCGTGGAACATGATCCGGTAAATACGAGAGCCGTATACAGAAAACCATATCCAGAGTGGATGGACGCGGTACCATATCCAAGAGGTTTTGAAATTCCTGATTTCAACCTTTTTTTCTGGCGAAGATGATCAATCGACAGTGGAACATGTTAGTCGGTTCGATGCACAATGCGGTGATGCATCTCATGCTGATTGTTGGAAGTTAAGGCTATTTCCCTTGTCATTATCTAAGACAGCCTTCACGTGGTATATATTTTTACCGGCTAATTCTATACATTCCTGGGAGCAAATGGAGACAAAGTTCCATAGCCAGTTCTACAGGTTAGTTCACAATGTGTCCATTACTGATTTGGCTGATATTAAGCAATATAGTTATGAATCAGTAGAGCACTTCATTTCCAGATTCAAGAGGGCTAGAAATAGATGTCTTACTTCACTCCCGGAAAAAGAATTTACAAATTTGGCTTTCAATGGATTGAACTTTAATTTAAGAGAAAAATTTGAAGGCCAAAATTTTGCCGATTTATTTGAATTGGTAACGAGAGTGTCTAAATATGAGCAATTACTTAAGGACGGAGATAGCGCGCCACATGAAAACTTTACTGAAGATGTGTCTTTCGAGGAAAAAATATGAGCCATATAAGAATATGAAATTCGGCAAAAAAAAACAAATCATATTTGTCGATGACAAGGGGGCATATGAGGACTTTTGCTTACCTAATTTAAAAGAATCGAATGATTGATGAATCATTCCATTCTTTTAAAGGGGGCATATGTTTACACCAAAAAATAACCAACTTGTCGACATGGTTCGTTTGTGCCAAAGATCATCAAGGGACACATGACGGAGACTTGAGGTAACGTGGAAGCAAATATCATCAAGTTGTCAACATAAGGAACACATGTTAGAGACATGTGTCATGTGTATATATTTACACCCAAAAATGACCAATTTTTGGGTATTATTGACAAGACTGGTCACTTCATCAAGGAAATTTCAGTTCTGCGCTAGCTCGGGAAAATGGTCATAACTTCTTCGAGACAGATCGGATTGACCTGATTCCAAAGCCAAAAGAACGAAGACTCATGGATCTACAACTTTTATGTTTTGAGTTTACTCAGAAAATCACTGTAGAGTTTTCGACATTAAGAGGAAGTCGACGGTTGTGACTGGTTGGAGATGCAGAAAGAAGAAGTAACCGTCAACATAGTGGAGTCAAAGCAACCGCTAACGTAGTGGAGTAAAAAGAAAACCGTCAAGGTAGTGGATTCAACGTAACTGTTGGAAACCACTAAGGAGCATATATGCGAGAACAGTTACTTGGAACCATGATTATGAGGAAGTTATTACTTGTGAACAAGATCGTGAGACAGTTATCTTGAAAGCAGAATCATGGCATCACATGGACATGAAGACAAGATTTTCGAAATGGAAGAACATGGGCACAACTGTTGAAAACTGCTAAGGAGCAGTTACCACACGACCATTATAAATATCACTGGCCATCTACCGGAGAAAACCCCCGACAAAATCAAACGACATGTTATCTTTCAATTATCTTTACTTTCATGTACCGCACTTTATCTTTCCTTAGCTTTAGCTTTCCGATTCGCGTCGTCGATTAAATTCCGGCGTGTATCTCTATCCCGAGTGTTGCGTCGTCGATTAAATTCCGACGTTACATCTTTGTGTACGTGTGAGGCTGTATTTTCAAGCTTTGTCGTCGATTAAATTCCTGCACGGTTTGTACATATAGTCCGGTTCGAAGTTCGGAGTAAAAGTTCGCCGTTTTTTCTTGTCTCCCTGGATATTTCCTGTCCAGAGTCGCCACGGAACCCGGTCTCCTCACATTAAGAACCGAAGAACGACTTTCGGTGAATTATATTTCGTCGCGGGAGCATTTTCTGGTGAAACAAGGGAGAAGCCCTCCTAGTTTCGCTTAATTCGCTTCTCTTGGGGCTTGATTTTGCACTTACGTCCATCGTCTTTTTTTCTCTTCTTGCATGACGAGGTATGACGGTAAGCCGAACCTCTCTTGTCGTCGAGAGAGCGATAATCCCACCTTCGAGGGAACGGAAAAAGTATTTTACACGGCAGTTACGTGAATAACGTGGCGTGACCGATCAGTCACATCGCTCGCGCGATGTGCATGTCGTTTTGCGCGACGCTTGGATGTTGAAAATACTGGTTTCATGGAGCGTAGATATCGTATGAAATGCCGTGTCCTTGCTAAGACCTAGTACCTGCAAAGTCATGGAGATGAAATTGGTACTTTGTATTTTTCGAGACAAAGGGTTGAATCGTCTTATCGTTGCATCAACCTGAACGGGATTCTTTGTATCTATAAAATCGCCGGGATATTGGAAGGTATGGCAAATGGACGAGTTCAATTGAGTTCTCTTGTCCAGGCTAATGGTGGGTGTCGGCCAATTTAAGAACTGCTTTCGAAATTCGCTAGTGGCCATATCTTGATGTCTAAGAAACTAATCAAACGCATAGCTATATTGTTCTTCTAGAACGAACTTGGCACCTTCGCATTCTCATCAATGTATTCATGGTCCCATGGACATGTCATTATCAATTACCGGAGGAATTAGCGGCTACCTAAATTCATAGCTACGATTTGTCAAAATGGAAAAAGACTCACCTTACTTCCCCCCTAATCCTCCCACATAAATCGCTTTAATTTTTTTTTTGTACAGAAAAGAACTCATTTTTTAATCGCCACAAGTTAGAGACAACGATATTTATTGTAATATATCTTCTTCTTTTTTCTGTACCAAATTATAATACATATAAAATAATTTGTGTCAATAAAGGTGGAGCGATTTGGCGCGTGGAAAATCGCTTCACCAAAGAACGACACGTGCACAGCAACATAAATCAATTTGTAACTAATCATACCAATTCAAGAAATCAGAGGGGGTGCAAAAAGAAAGAAAGGCGAACTTACAGGGGCACAATTGCGAAAAAGGACGCGCACCTCAAGAGCAAAATTTGCACCACTCAAAAGGAGCCCCTCACTAATCACTGCGCTTTTGATTTTTTTCAATCACATCACCGAAATTTTCTTTTTAATCACTCGTAGTAGGAATTTAAAGAAAAAGAAAATTTCAACTGAGTCGCTTCGGTAAAAATTCAATTTAATCCTACGGTAAGATGTCGACGTGACGCTCGCGCGACAATAACACATCATTTAGAAATTGGTTATTGTATATGCGTCGTTGGTAATTCGCTCGAAATCAAACAAACTCCAATCAAAGAGTTTGTAAGAGAAAAAAGAAAAGTACAGTGCATCTAACAATAAAACTTGAGAGCACGTTCCGCACTGAGTGCACCGCACGTTGCCACCCATGAATGTCCTAACTTCAATTGAATACATGGAAGGTCAACTGATTTGTAAATGGAGATTACAGTTTGATATCTGGTGTAAAATGGACATCTCTAGTTTACGAGGCTCGATACGAATATTCTCGACATAAATCGATCAACTCGCTAGATCGGGGACTCGGTCCACGCGACGTCTCGATACAATTTCAGGGCGTCGTTCACATGGATCTCGTCAATCGGGCAATTTATCGCGTCCCTTTTTCATTTTCTATAATTCGAGTTGGGAAGCGCCCGTTCGAATGCACGAGCATACCGCACCAAGGAGAGCAAACATGTGTTGGGCTTATCGTAATCGTCGATCATGTGGTGTCCGAGGCAATCGTTACTTCCGTAACCAATGGGGGAGTGAATCTGGAAGAAGGACATTTTTCTCATTGGAGTGGGGAGTGGATAAAGTGGAAGATTGGTGGGGGCCCAGAAAAGGGTGTGGGGGAAAAGTAAAAATGGAAAGTAAAGAGGACGAAGATCATTTTCATGGGCAACGGTGATGGGGCCCGTCGTCTGTCGGCAACGTTAAGATAGCGCCACGTAAGCTCGAAGAGGGACGTACCCGGATGAACTGTTTAAATAACGGGGACGACTCGGGGAAGGCCCAGGAGACACGTAGAGCACACGGCACGTGCGTCGTGGGGCTTGTGATGTTACCGTTCCACGGGAGAATACGGTACGGGGGCAACGCTAGCGACGCGATCGTTTGATCGCGATCCGATCCCAGGGCACCGAATTCTGTACTCTATTCTTTTATAATAATAACAAGGGAAAAAACCACCAAAAACCCCAAACTTTGCCATCTGTGACACATTTACCCCGAACTTTTTTTGGTGACACCAAAAACCCCGAACTTTGCTTTTTGATGACACATTTACCCCAATGTATTTAGTCCATGGGCATTTTCGTCTTTTCTCGCTTTTTCTTTTCTTTTTTTTTTTCCTTTCCGTGAGGGGGCCTCGCCGGCGTCAGCGTCCGCCGGATCCGGCGAGGGGGCCCTCGCAGATCCGGCGAGGGCGGCCCTCGCCGGCGTCGGCGAGGTTCGCCTCGCCAGATCCGGCGAGGGCGGCCCTCGCGATCCGGCGAGGCGGCCTCGCGCGATCCGGCGAGGCGGCCCCGCCGGCGTCGGGCGAGGTTCGGCCTCGCCGGGCGAGCGAGGGCGTCCCTCGCCCGACTCGAGCGAGGTCGGCCCTCGCCCGACGCGGCGAGGGTCGACCTCTCCGAGTCGGGCGAGGACGCCTCGCTCGCCCAGCGAGGCGGACCTCGCCCGACGCCGGCGAGGGTCGCCCTCGCCGGGCGAGCGAGGGCGTCCTCGCCCGACTCGAGCGAGGTCGACCCTCGCCCGACGCCGGCGAGGGCCGCCCTCGCTCGGCCCTCGCCGGCGTCGGGCGAGGTCGACCCTCGCCGGCTGCCGGCGAGGTCGACCTCGCTGAGCCCGGCGAGGGACGCCTCGCTCGCCTGGCGAGGCCGAACCTCGCCGACGCCGGCGAGGTCCGCCCTCGCCCGGGCGAGCGAGGGCGGCCCTCGCCCGACTCGGGCGAGGCCGAACCTCGCCCGACGCCGGCGAGGTCCGCCTCGCCCGGGCGAGCGAGGCGCCCTCGCCCGACTCGGGCGACGCCGAACCTCGCCGACGCCGCGAGTCCGCCTCGCCGGGCGAGCGAGGGCGGCCTCACCCGACTCAGCGAGGTCGACCTCGCCCGACGCCGGCGAGGGTCGACCTCGCCCGAGTCGGGTGAGGCCGCCCTCGCTCGCCCTGCGAGGGCGAACCTCGCCCGACGCCGGCTGAGGGCCCTCACCGGACTCGGGCGAGGGCCGCCCTCGCCCGACGCCGCGCGAGGCCCCCTCGCCGGATCCGGCGAGACCGACGCCGGCGAGGTCCCCCCCTCGCCGGAAAGGAAAAAAAAAAGAAAAAAAAAAGAAAAAGCAGAAAAGACGAAAATGCCCATGGACTAAATACATTGGGGTAAATGTGTCACAAAAAGCAAAGTTCGGGGTTTTTGGTGTCACAAAAAAAAGTTCGGGGTAAATGTGTCACAGATGGCAAAGTTTGGGGTTTTTGGTGGTTTTTTCCCTAATAACAATATCTACGTGTTTGGCTTGGGAGTCGAATAATGATGGAAGACTGGTTTTTCTCGGATTCTCATTCTCCGTTATTTAAGCAAGTCGGATGTGATTTTTCAAAGTAAAGATAAAATAATACAAATGATCCACGGTCTTTTTGACACAATATGTAATATAGTCCATCAATTATTAATTTATTCAATATGATCAATGAACTGTAACTTAATATGTAACGTGATCAATGAATTTTCGATTTGTTCAATATGATCCGTAGACTTTTAGTATATATTTATTTTAGTCCGCGAATTGCGATGTTGTCCCTGAATTTAAATTAATGGAATGATAATATTGAACATTTTCATCTAGTTCGGGGACTAAGTTAAACATTTACCGAAAAGTTCTGGAACCAGATTGAACAAATTAAAAGTTCGGGGATTACATTGAACATTGAACAAAAATTTAATGACCACATTGAACAAATTAAAAGTTCAGAGACCTCATTTCACATTGGGCCAAAGTTCAATAACTATTTGTGGCATTATCCATAGAGATAATCGAAATGTTTTGTTTTTTTTTTTGTTTACTAAAATTTCAGTCCAACATGAAAATACAATTTTTTTAAGAAATAAGTATACTTAAAGTACTCAAATTTGTTTTGAAAGTGCAATCGAGTCTCAAAACTTTCCAAAAGAGCAATCAACGGAATGACTTAATTGGACTAATTTGACAAGTTTTAGGATTTGATTACACTTTTTGAAAGTTTTATAACTCAATTGTATTTTCATGACAAATTGTAGGATTTAATTACATTTTTTGAAAGTTTTAGGACTCAATTACACTTTTGTAACGAGTTTTAAGATTCATATGAACTTTTTTTTTTATTAACCGAGGATGCATTTTCTTCGTGGCACCCTGAACCGCATTCTAACACAAATAAATTTTGAGGAAAAAAAAAGTCCACATGGTGATCCCCAACCCGTGGTATAGGCCCACGACAGCTCCTTCCGATAGGCCCAATATGTTTGTTATGACCAAGTCCAATAGCACAATGCTCTCATAGCTTTTTTCATCTCAAATATGACTGGAAACACTCAATGCCATCTCAAATTTACAATGTTATAACTTTACTAGTCTCACCGTAGCATGCTGTTAGAAGTTCAAAAATTTCGATTAAAGGTCTACCTTAAGGTTAAATGCGAAACTCACTCTTGATTTACGCTTATTTCTTGCTTTTTTTTTTTCCTTCTTTTTTCTTATTCAAGAGTGAGCCTCGCATTTTTTGGTAATATTGTCCGCTTAAAGTGGTAGGAGTATATTCAGCCATAAAAGCACGAACCTATAAAAAATCGTTATCTCAATAAAAAAAAATCCCATGGAAAAGGAATTTCCGACGTGGAAATAGTTTACCGATGTAATAGTCTCACTTTTGTCTAAAGTTTTGGAGAGATTTCCTCCTCTTTTTTTTTGTCGGGGGTTAAAATATTCCAAGCTCTCCGAACCTGGATGGGCCTCCCGAGAAGCTGGGCCGTCTCCCCCCTCCCCACGAGGCCCATATCTAGACCCAACAGGAGGCCCACGATAGAATTCTTCATCCCTTCTTCAACCACTGTTGTCCATGGTGGCGGTGCAGCGGCAACTTCGATCGAGCTCTCTCTTCTTTCACCGGACACACCAAAAGTTCAGGGAAGAACGAGAAAGAGAGAAGAAAAAACGTTGGTGGGAAGCCATGATTCTCGCGGTTCTCTTCGCTAACTCGGAAGGAAACATCCTCGTCGAAAGGTTTGACCTCTTCCGGAACCATTTCCGCCGTTCTTGTCTTCTGTCGTTGGACCTGTCCGGCGGCAAGATCTTGGCTTCTCGTTTCTTGATCGAAGCTGCTGATGCGTAGCTTTCCCGTTGGATTTTCGTTTGTCCGATGCCCTTCGTTTGATCGGACGTGTGTTGCGTTTGCTGTGGTGCTCGATCGGTGTGTCTGTGCGGATCGGGTTTGATTCCCCCCTTCGATCTGGGGGGGGGTGGGGGGGGGGGGGTGGGGGAGTAATTCGCGCGCGTTTGCGTTTAGATTCGATTGGGTTTGGTCAAGTTTCGATTTTTCGCATTCTTTTGGAAGTTTCGATTGTTGGTCATCTCCGTGGAGGAAGAAAGCATGGAAGCAACTGATCTATACGAGTAATTCGTGATGGTTGCCTCGTAAATTTCGAGTTCTTTTTTATTTTTCGGGAGTTCAGTTAAGTGGCTAGACTACATAAGCATTTGGTGCTAAATGTCTTGTAATCAGGCATGGTGGTAGCTATCAGATCCAGTTAGTGACTGTTAATGTGAATGCTGAATTCCCTCCAATTTTTTTTTTGTTTTGCTTGATGATTTCGGCTCTTGAGCACTTCCGGTTTATGCGGCAGCTCATGGTATTTTCTAATGCATATCCGCGACATTGTGGGGGCAGTAATTGATATTGTCTTCTTGGCTAGGTTCAATGGAGTTCCGGCCGAAGAACGGCTCCACTGGCGATCATTCTTGGTTAAGCTGGGAGCCGAAAACCTTAAAGGTGCAAAAAATGAAGAGCTCCTTGTTGCTTGCCACAAGTACGTGTTGCTCTTTCCCACTTTATTCTCCATATCTGGAAGTGCCGTTGAAGGCAGTAAAATTTGGAGCCTCCTTGCTGGAGGGTTTAATAATTTACTTAAAACCTTGGAACCTGACTGCATCAATGGCCAGAACTTTCTTTATTTTGACTGACCTTAGTTCAAGTGATGTGAAAACCAGCTTCAGATACAATCTAAAAGAAGTTAAAAAGAATCAGCTCTGGCCACTTACGCTATGATTGGTCATGCTTTGCTGCTCGTTCAATCTGATGTTATTCCGTGGGTTTGTATCAGCTCACAATGTCTACCGTTTACAATCCTAAGTTGTAGTCATTCAATGTGCAGTATTTCCCTCTTGATTTATTTCTTATAGACTTTATTATGTCCTACCATCTCTTGTCCATGGGTCTTGGCATGTCTTTCGCCACATAGTTCAACTCAACATAACATGTTATATAAATCAAAGGTCAAATAAACAGAGCTTCCTTGACCCTGTACTTCATATAAAAAAGAATATCTTTTGGCTTTTTGAGGCAAAATTTGTTAAAAAGACGTTGGGCTTCGAGTCTGTTGTCAGGTGCATGATGCAATGTCTAACCTCTCTATTTTGATCGATTCGTTCACTCTGCAATAGGTCTGTCTATATCGTATATACAGTGCTTGGGGATGTCAGCATCTATACTGTGGGCAAGGATGAATATGATGAGCTAGCCTGTAAGTATCATTGTTTTTTTAATTTCCACTTAACTGCAGAAACAGTCTGGAAAATAAAGAAGGTTCTCACAAATCAAGACATTGGGGATCTGAATTTGCATTTACCTAATTCTTCAATAGATCTAGTTTACATTCGTCTTAGCGGCAAGTTCTGACTTCCTTCATTAGGATGAGCTTGTGACCAGAATAGCTCTGTAGTTGTATAATGGATACGATTCATGTAATAAGTTGGCTGTCAATGAACATTTCCACAGGTCAGGCTAGTGGAATTTCTTTAGAGATATGTCACTATAGTGACCCTTTGAGACCGCTACTGGAAGTCCCTCCTCCCTAAATTGTCATTGAAGCATCTTTGTCTTTTTTCACCATAGGATGATAGAAGAGTGTGTTGATATCTTATTGAATTATCTTTTTTTCCTGGTCTGATTTATGCTTCTCATGTTGCTTCTGTAGTGTCGGAAGTGATCTTCGTTATAACATCAGCTGTTAAAGATGTATGTGGGAAGCCTCCAACTGAGCGCCTTTTCCTCGATAAGTATGGAAAGATATGTTTATGCCTGGATGAAATTGTTTGGAAGGTAAGGAGGATCTTTGTTATATAAACAAAGAGAAACCTGGAAACTACAGGATTGTTGGTGCTTCATCTCAAATCTGTTGGCAAATCGATTCAGATAACCATAAGTGCAACTAAATAATTTTCCTGCAACTTAATAATGGAGCCAATTGATTCTTGGATTTCAAATTACGGCATTTACTCTCCTTTCAGTCTCATAGAACATGGAGGGCATATCACTGTTAGACATGGGACATTGATCTGCGTTGTTCAATACTTGTTTGGCAAGGTTTAGTAGTTTTATGGAAAGCTATTATCAGCTCCTTTAATCAATATAATATTATCATTTGAAAAAAGTCATTTTAGTCTTGCATGATTAGATTTGACTTGCGGATGTTCAAATGGTCTCTTTTGCTTAGAGTTCTTTTTTATTTTTTTTTAAAATAGTATCTATTACCAGGCAGAATTAGAGGAAACAGAATATCAGTCTATGACTAGTGGTTAGGTTGCATGTGTTCTACTTTATGTATGTGTAATACTTCTTGTTTGCTTTCTCATCTGCATCATTCCTTATGTTTTGAAGGGTTACCTGGAGAACACAGACAAAGAAAGAATCAAAAGGCTAATACGCTTAAAACCTCCAGTGGATTTTTGAGTCGAGTCTGCTTCTAATTGATTGAAGACACTGAAGTTTCTCACCTATGGATGTTCTCGATGGTGTTACCAGTGTCTTAAAACACAGGGATTTCCCTAGAACGATTTGGGATCTTGATCGAGCGATGTTGTGTTTGATTCTTTATCTCAGACTACGGTGTTAATAGTTCATGACCGAAGAGATATCTTTCGACTTTCTAGTTGATGTTACCGTTGTAATTCTGTTGGCAGTGATAGTGATTTTATAGTATACGAGGAAAAACGCCAGGCTTCCAGATCATACAATAAGCAATGAGGCTTTCCGTCTAATCTTCTGTCCTGTATTATGTCTGCTCTTGGTGCTTGAAAATTCTAAATTGACCAAAGATTTAACATCAGACCGAAATCTATACCGACAGTGGACTTCCGATAAATTTGCTGTGTGCGTGAGTTTTCAAAAAATCTAGTTTTTGGAACTCGCGGTTCTCTTTGATCGATGTTTTACCCCATGAAATCCATGGAGATGTCTCTGCTGCTTTTAGATTAGGACCTGAATGTTTTAAATCGAGAGTTAATGCTAATGCTTAATTGCTGATCACAGGACTCCATGATCAAGACCAGCATTAACAGGAGACTGATTTTGGCAAAGAGCGTCCCACGGGCACTTGTTAAGCGTAAAACACTCGATTAGAATCATTAGGACCTCACAATCTTGCTTCTCACAGGCGAAACGCAATTTCTTGCAGTTTGGCATCTTATATGATCTGGGTTTGGCCGTCAGGTGATCGTGTCACTGCATGGCGACTGGAAACAAGAAAGCGCATATCCCTTCGTTCTGATACATATGCAATGTCTGCCAGGATGTGAGCACGGGTGGGAATAAGATGATGAACACACGTGCCAACTTGCTTTGAGTGTCCTCACTCCATCTTTCTTCACGGGATTTGATGTTTCGGAGGCGTCTCATGACTCATTACCTTAAAAATTTCTAGAAATACAAGCACCATCCAGTTCATGTTATATTCCACCTCTCTGCTGTGCTCAACAAGCTGAAGCAATAAGCTTGAAAAAATGATCAAGGGGCTGAGTTTCGTGCTGTGCTTGAGCCTTTTGTCCGTAGCTTTTTGCAATTCCAGGTCCATCTTCTCGCAACCCCATGCCCTCAAGTCCTTCAAGGTCAATGATGCTCGGGAATGAACCGTTCAGTAGTTAATATGTCCTCTCTCTCTCTCTGATGCATGTATTGTGAACAAGAAGGATCCTAAAAAAGAAGCTGTGTGATATAGCAGAACGAAGGGACCTGTACTTATACGGTATCGGTGAGGACGAGCGGTCTTTCGACCAGCTACACCAGAGACCAAATCAGTCTTGCATTTGGAGATGCCTATGGCAATCAGGCACCAGATGGCAAGCTCTACTTCGTCATCGATTGATTCAACTTAATAAAAAACCTAGGTTGTTGCTAGTTTGACCCGCTGAAATGCTCATTTAGACATTTTTCATCGGTGGATTGAATTAATCACAACCGTTAGAAGTGACGAGTCTCATCGCCTGTGGGTTGTGGTTAGCCCGCTCGCACCCGTGCCGCTCCACTCTAATCTACAATTCCCACCAAATACTCTTTATCAAGATTTATACAACCACCTAGAAATCGTCTCCATATGCAACTTGTGTCACGACGTATGATCTGCAATACACTTGCATCTTTTCGATGCATCATCAGCTATAGATTCGCATCATTTAGATGTTCTGGGCGTTATAAATACAAGGATGATGAATGACGGCTTCTCGTGAATAACCGGGAGCTATCATGATCAGGTGTATGCACCCAGGCTGGACAATCCATACGGCCAAGCATTCGAGAGGTGCTCGACAGACACTTTCCAGATAAACGGGCCGTGTGCGTACCAGATCTGCTATCTCTACCTCTTCAGGAACCGGCCGGCACGACAGTTGGAGACCCAAGCGAGTGATGGTTCAGGCATATGCGTCCTCCTACTACACTCAGTCGCAACCCGTCACCCTCCATTATGGCACCTTCATCCCCAGGAGTGTCTGGTTCGGGTTCAATCACTGCGCTGGTCATTATGTAGCTCCTTCCTAGAAGCTTAGCGAACTGCCTTGATCGCACAACACTTGATCAAGCCGACGTTACGTGGGAGTGTGTATCTTGTTAGCCTTTCTGTCTACTGGATTTTGCTTATATCTTAAGCCTACCTCAGAGCTTTCTTGCATGATTTCGGGTATTCGTGCATGTTGGCAATGTCACGTGATATATGCCTTCATGTACGAATATGCATTGAAACTAGAAACTATCGTCTTGAACAACTTATCAGAAGATGCATTGAAAGAGAGGACCAAGAAAACCCGCTGAGAGCTGGCCGAGTACTCTCAAAAATACTATTCCCAAACCCTAGCTTAATTACGACATTAATTTGTTCGCATGGACATCTGCCAATAAGGCCTCTTGCATGCACCTTCTCTACTTTAATTATATAAGAGAGAAAATGACACCAATATTTTCTGAACTTTGGTTCAATGTACAATATCATCCATGAACTTTTAATTTGTTCAATATGGTTTCTGAATTTTTTGTACATGTTTAATCTAATCCCTGGACAATATGCAAATGTTCAATTATCTTATCAATTATCTCTACTCGAGGTATTAGTAAGAACATGAAAAGTATTTGAAGGACTTTATATTATAAATAAGAATTGATCTTCTTGCGGATGATGTAATATTCTTAGGCTATCTACGTAATTGGAATGTTGAAAGAAGAATCGAATGACCAGTAAAAATTCAAGTTATGATGAAAATAGAAGATGCAATATATAATTTGATAGATTCACTTGGATTAGATTTCAAGTGTTGTTGAATGATAACAAACTTATGAGAGGATAACATTGAACATTTTCATATAGTCCAGAGAATTGATTGAACATGTATCAAAAGTTTAGAGACCACATTGAATAAATTAAAAGTTTAGGGACGATATTACACATTGAGAAATTATTCAGGGACGACTTTATATATTAGGCCAAAATTTAAGGACCATTTGTATAATCATCCATAAGTAAGAAAATGGATTCATCTTTTATCCACAGGCGGTACATGAGATCATCATGCATCTTATTCTCGATCAATTTCATTAATCCTAGTTTACCCAATCAGTTCATGAATATTCTGCTAGACTTTCTTAAAAAATTTCCCTCAAATGATGCGTTTATGAAATCACATGAGGCTGTTGTTGCCTCTTATTTCGTTCGTCTATTTTTATATGGGAAGAATCATGTTTTTTTTTCCTTTCATTTCTATGGATAACATGAAAGGAAAAGGGCCAAATGTTTCCGGATAGTCCCGAATGATCTTTAACGGAAATAGATCTCGATTTAGGACCACAAGTCCCTGTGATCCAAATAAATTTACGTGAGCACATAGTCCTCACGTAAGCAAAATTATGTTAATTTGCATGAATTGCATTGAACGAGTTAATTGCGGGTTAATCGCATTTAAGTGAATGCCTTTACCCTTTTTTAATTACTTTTCTTCTTTGTCCGATTTTGCGATTCACGCGATTCGATTTTGATTTAAGGGTCTGCTTGTTTTTGTGGAAAATGAACGACTCGAAAATCATGTTCCAAAAAATGATTGATTATATCGCTTGGAATATTCAGTCAAAGAAAAAATATTTCCATTATCGACAACATTTTATATCTAAACACCTTCGTAAGTGACGAAAATATAATTCGTTCATTCATTTTGTAGGCGAAGTGTCACGCCCCGTACCCCACGAAGCGCAACATCCCATCACGGTCGATTAAGGTGCAACGCTCCCAGGAAGCGTCGCCGACCCAAACCCCAAACAGAGATCAAGCACAAGCGGAAGTACGTATATATATATATATATATATACACACACACCATGACAATAAAATACATGAGGCCAAGGTAGCACAACCAGCAAACAACACCTCTGAAAGTATGTATACTAGTATTACCAAAGAAAACTTTTTACACAATTCATTTATACAACAGCAGAGGAAACACACAGTCAGCAGCCACTCAGTCAAAAGGGATCAGTGTAAAACACTTCGGCTCCTCAGCTTCCTCGACCATGGCTGCAGGTCCGTCCCCACAAGGGTGCACACTAGATGACCGCTGGATGAACTGCGGTATACCAAAAAGAGGCGCTCTCTTCGGCATCCTACGGCTGGGGGTCTGAAAAGTTTCGGTTTACACAACCGTGAGACGAATCTCAGTGAGTTCAATCCCTAAACCTAGGCTAGGCTAGCATGCAATCTCCTGACCGGAAACAAATATTTAAATCACAATACAATAATAATCAAACCATTATCTGACCCTGCAGGTTAGACACATCAACATATAATAGTCACAGCACGTTGGCACACATTATCACACGTACGCCAATCACATGCTCATGCACCGAGTCTCACACACCCGCATGCTAGTCCATGCATGTTCATGCCTGCAAATGTCATCGACATGTCACGCGCATTTCCCCGGCCCACTGGCCCACACTGGCAATCGCCCAATTTATTATTTATTACGACGACTCGAGTCAACAACATTCACGGCCCGGTGCGTCTAGCCTGCTTTAAAGTGCATGAGGCGCAGCAACCGATCTGGCCCAGTGTCTCTAGCCTGCTTCAAAGTGCATGAGGCGCAACACTGATCTCCTTACGAACCAGAGCCTGCTTCAAAGTGCATGAGGATAGTCGTCTTCCGGACATACCGGGCATCGTCCTGCTTCAAAGTGCATGAGGACGGTATCGACCCGAAGGTCATGACCCAAAGGTCCTTAGGTGATCCCACAACTCATTATTATCTGAACCCAGCGTATGACGCTTCGGGGTATTTTAGGTGATCACACACTCTTGGCAGGCACGCATTCTCGCACAATTCCACCACATGCCTCACTCTAGGCATACATAATGCGTGTCCATGTTATGCGATGCAATGCACCATGAGCACCAATGAAATTCAGTCACTCAATATCACAACACGTGCTCAATTGGCCCAATTAATACCGTGTGGCCCAACGTGCGATTCACAATTCAATAATTAATTTCAAACCCATCATTGGCCAATCGCACACCACATAATTCAGCCACACGACATACGACATGGTAGTACGAAATCAATCACAATTAAGCACAAATCATGTACAACCAGTCAACCCGGACATACCCGGTAATTTTCCAATGGGCTCCTAAATTGGTCATTTAATCCAATTAATCTCCCCAAATAATTCTCATTAATCCACTAAATTTTCCCGATAATAATTTCTACCAATCAGTCCTCAACCT